GTGTTGGGAACACAAAATTGGTGTACATCTTGTGAAGCAAAAGTTACTTTTATTCAACAAATAGTGTATAAAATTGTTGTTTTTATTCCATATACTGTTGAGTTATAAAAGAATAAGTTTAAAAAAATAATTTTAATATATTGTATGGAATAGAAATAGTAATAATGTTTGAAACATTGCATTGGTTTTGCAATATTAATAATCAAAATCTGGAAATTTTTAATCAGATTACTTTATTTAATTAGTATTTCTCAAATGAAATAAAAGAAATTAAAAATCAATACAATTGTTAAGAATGTTATACAAAAGTTTTATTGAATTGTTTTCATACATTAAAAATTTAGGTTAAAATCACTTTTAATTAACTTTTATATATAGTTAAACATGCATTGAGTGGTAATTCAAATATAAATTATCATTTTGTTCTGTGAATACAAAATATTTTAAATTACTTTTGTGGTAATAAATGAACATTTTTATGGTAAAGTAATGTTCTGTGAATTTTAGCACTTTGTTTCAAACACAAATTATATTTTATTCTTGCTTTTTTGGCACAATTCTGGTTAAAATTAAATTATAATAATTCATACTATTAGTAAATGACATAAACAGAGCATTCAATGTAATAATAACTACAGTATTTTAAATCAATCGACAAAAATATCAACAAAAAATGTAATAAAAAAATTCCAATTTTAAATCTTTTTAATTGCTAAAAATAAGTAAATTCAAAATACAGAGATTATTCTGTGACAAAAAATTCAAATTACCATAATTTGAGTCATAAACAGAGACAAAAAATAAATACAAATAATTTTCAAATAGCTATCAATTAATAATTAGTGCTGATGAAAGTGAGGGCACTGACAGAATGGGATGCATTTACCACTTTTATGGTCCCGATAGAGACCACGTTTGCATTCACAGCCGGGTGTGCACTGTTGTGTACAAACCCTTTTGGGTTCAGTGCAGGCGGGAGTGCATGGCTTGCATTTGTACCATTCCTCGTGAGCCGGACATTGTTTGGGCGGACAGTCGTACTCACGCACACACTTCTTGGTGTCCCAGTCGCGGATGAATCCCTGATTGCAGTAACAGCCGGGAAGTTCGACCGACATGTTCTTGCATTTGTGCCAATCGACGTGCGGGTGTTGACACGTGGGCGCACACGAGTCACCAAAATCGCTATAGTGCTCGTTATCCGGGCATATTTGAGCTGTAATTAAAGTATTTATTAATTTATTGTTAGTTAATTGTGAATATTGTAAATGATTACAGCATTCATTGGGTTTAACGCAAAGCCCAGTTCGGGTGTCTTTGACATAACCGGCGTCACAGAAGCATCCGCTCACACAAATGTCTTTATCTCTCGTGCAAACCGATAGACCTCTGGGTTCTGCAAATTCACACGTGGGCTGACATCTGGGCCCACACTTCTCGAAATGCGAGTGCGGTTTACAAATAGCTGTTTAAACGTAATGATTGAAATGTTATTTCATTTATAATTACTTAATTTAAAATAAGTGACTAAAAAGACTTACCCGGGCATTGAGTCCTAGGAATACAAACCCCAAACTCATTGCGGACAAACCCATGGGCGCAGACACAGCCCGGATAACAGGGAGGCGGCGGTGGCTTTTTGTCGCCCTTTATGATCACAATGACCGCCGATTCGTGATTCGGACCACTATTCCTGGCGCTAAACTCAGGGCATGGCATTTGGTTGGGAGACTCACACGTCGGCTCACACGGTGTCAAACAATCGGTTGTCATCTGAAATATGAGCAAAATTATGGTTTAGTATAATAAATATAACGATATGAATGGCAAACCTCGCTGTGACCACATTTTGGTCTGTTATTGTCATTGGAGTTAACAATAGTTAAGAAAATGGACAAAATTATGATTTGCTGCTTCATTGTTAAAATATATTTAAATACAATTTATGATTGAATTGAAACTTAAAGTGAGTTTAAAATAAGAAATTAAAATCTGTTTCTCGCATCACTTTTTATACCCTGATCAGTAAAATCATGGGATCATACCTGGGAAACCATCAACCAATCAGTATTCAGTTTTCGATAGTTATTTGATTTTTGATCTGTTGTTTCAATAGATTAGATTAGTTTAGGCATTCATTTCAAATGGATTAACAGCAAATTAATACTATTAATACAGTATATAGATTGATATTTTGTATTATTTGTACATTCTGTAGATGCATGAGTTTTTGTGCACTCAAATAAACAGCACCTTGATCAAATATCTCCAAACAAATATTTTAAACATATTTACCACCAATTCTTCGTGTATTTAAAAAATTAATTCGTGGAAAATATTTCAAACTTATAGTCTATAAGTTATAGATAACAACTAATGACAGAAAAAAGACTAAAATATTATTGTAACAAAATATCAATTATTTAAATAAAACATTTGAAAATTGTATGAAAACTGTGTTGTATTTTATATAATATATGATTACATAATAGACTAAAATAGATGTGTATTTAACGGTCAATTAATTGTCATTTTAATCAAATTAATTATAAAAAGTATTAGCATTTAAAGTGAGCGCCAAATGAAAAGCACATAAAAATATAGGAATTATAGCCAATCATACGATCGGTAAGTGTTTGTCAACAAAAACACGTGTCTTTGCAGTGAATATACGGTTTGATTGTCTGTCAGTTGTGTTGTGTCGGCAATAATGAGCAGACCTTCGGTGCGGCCAATGGTGTGGAATCGGGTCCCGGAGTCGGTGTCTTCGGTGAAGGGTCTGATGGGATCAGTGGTCGAGTTCAGGGAGTTGTCGGGCAATGGAGTGATTGGAAGTGTCGGCAAATACACCAACCATTGCATTGAGTTGAGGGACGCGTCCATTGCGGCCACCGGTCGTCACAAACACTCATATTTCGGTGATTATCGCATATTTGACTACGAGATCAAGAAGTGGAGACTCAAAGAGTTCCGTAAACCTGTCATCAATACCACAAACCATCATAACTCCAACGGGTATTATATGTTGACTATTGCCGCCGATTATCGCTAATTCGTTGACTCTTATTGTCCCAAAAGTGATGACCAGATCCCTAATGACATGACATCGAAAGTGATTCTTCCGTCTCGTCGTACGAACGGTTCCGTTGACGCCGAAGACGATGAGCCGGAGATTAATGAAGCGGAAGACATGCTTGTTGTGAACCCCGACCTCCACTCAATTGATCTCAACGAAGACGACACTCCCATTCGTGTCGATTGTCGAGATCTCACTCTCAAGACATCCGATGAACTCATACTCGTCGACCCATTGGCTGATAATTTCATGACAATCATTGAGACTATAAAGGGATCGCATTGTATTGGACTCGAGCTGTTTGGCCAAGAAATCAGTCGCTTGGGATCAGTTGTGTGGATGTGTTTGGCGACCGGAGATGGCATTTATGTGTTTGACGCGCGTAATAAAGCCATAGTTAGTGCTCTGAAAGGACCGCTCGAATCAAAAGAGTTGCAAAAAGTGTTGTTTAGTTGTCGTCTTCCGTCCGATGCTTTGCAACATCTGTTTGGAATCAGATTAGAGAACGTGATTGATATCACTGTCTTTGACTATCATCTACAGAGAAAACAGTGGTTGGAAGCGATGGCAAAACACCACTCAAGAAGTAAACCCAAATTGCGATCATTTGATGCCATTGTTTACGAGTATTTATCGGTAAAAGTGCCGCAACTCTACGATAAACCAGATTTCGGGCAATTTTCGATTCGAGTCCAAAATGTGATCAGATTTAAGACCGTTTTCTTGAGACAACTCTACGCTCTTATCAATTATCTAATGCTTGAGGACTTGTATATAATGACTACACGTTGTGTCAGGTCTTTGCGATCGGCTAACGATCTAACGTTTAGTATTCTTAGAGCCGATGAGATTATGAACGGTATGTTCGAAGAGCCCATCAATGAGTCCGAGCGCACAGAACGCCGACCCATCGGAGTTCCCGGAGTTTTCATATGAAAACTATTGCTCATCGCTTTGCGACTAACAATATAGCGGATATACGGCTATCATAACAAATCATTTGAATTATTTCTCATACAAACACTTATTGTTATCACTTTTTTACAAATATTGAGAATTATAACTAATTTTTGTTAATTCTTATTATTAATGGCCAACAAATTGTATAAATATATGGTTATATTATATAATGTCTTTAAATTAATGATTTTGTATAGAGTGTAGTATTGATGTAAATATAGCTGACTTGTGAGAACATAGCAAACATGATTGTGTTGGAAATGTTAAATTTTTAATCGACTCAAACACCACATAAGCTTTAGTGTTTAATTATCATAATTGCAATGATTTTAATTTAAAACAATTTAATCTCGAGACTGACTATAGAGTCAGTCATTCCTATCTTTCGTTTAGATAATTCATTGTTTTATACCATAAACTAAACAAAATTACATCATTTGAAATAAATTGAATTTACATTTCATTTTTAAAATAAATTAAGTAATTTTAATAATCAATTTAATAAACGACTTTTGTTTATCAATTAGTTAACCAATTATTGCTTTTTGATGTTAAGACCCGTCAGTTCGGATGGTCTGGCAATAGACGACACTTTAGATCCCAAAACACTAGCATTGGCTGAAGTCTTGCCGGATTCCGATTCTGCAGTCGATATCTTTTGTGGATTATTTAATCGCGAAGTGACCTGAGATTTGGGCGAAGATTTATTTGGCATTCGGGACACACTTTGCTGTTGATTACTAATAGAAGACATTCCCATCTTTGATGTCTTGTCCTCACGTCTCGATTGTATGTCCCGTTTGTTTGGTTGCGTTACTCGTGAGGGTTGTTGTGGTTGTTGTGGCTGTACATCAAAACCAGTGGATACCATGCTTTGAATCTGCGACTTCTGTTTGGTCACATCCTTTGGCGATTCATTGTTTTTGAAAGGAATGGCTTTATTTAGTGGCGATTTGTTCACAAAACTGCTCTTTGCTATCGATTTATTGTCTTTAATTTGAGACACATTTGACGCGCTTTCGGCGCCTATTTTGCTGCTCTCGACCTCCGATGTCATGTCGAAGCCCTCAGAAACCATGGGCTTGACGTCAGTGGTAGACACCTGTCCCTCATTGATCTGCGACCCTTCGTCCGCAACAACGGCCGCGTTGTCTGTCATGTCCTCTGCATTTGCGTTCAAATCATTCTTATTAACCAAACGGAACTGTCGTTTCCTCTTTGAACAACAGTAATAAACGCAACACAAAGCGATTATTATGCAAATTATGCTAAACACTAACACAACTATTAACAAAATTAATTTTGTCTCTTCACTCAATTCACTAAAATTCTTATTCATTTTTTTCTAAAACGTGTCGATAATAGTGAACACTTCCAAAGTACACACAATTTTACAAGTAATTCAATCTTAACATTAACTGTCTGTTTATTTCTATGATTAAATGTTTTTGAAATATTAACGCATTATAACAATTGAAGACAAGTCAATATAATAATTACTACAACAATACTATTCAGTACTGTATTCAGTAAAATTTAATATTTTAAATATATGGTACTGTATAAGCCTTTTCCCATCTTTGATGTTCTAATAATATTTGTGACCATTATTACAGATAATTGTCTGATGTGTGCCATCCATGGATTCATGGATGTGTTCATTCAAGCAATCATAACAATATAAGTTATGGATAAAATTAAAATAAATTCATATTCAATTAAACGAGTTGTGAAAACTTTTTAAACAATTATCATTTTAACAAAAATGTTGTTATTGTCTAAATATTATGTAATCGTAAAGTAAATCAGTCTAAAAGACAAAAAATGTAGAAACAAAGCCTGGCTTTTGACCAAATTTTGCGAAATTAGATAAGAGTTGTCAACCGTTTGGAAGTATTTTATTTATAAACATATTTACATAATATTGTCTAATTATTTTTGGGGTTTATATGTAATGACATTTACGCTAATAATACAGATATTAAAAATAAATAAGATTTTTTTAAAGAAAAATTTTAGTTTAAGATGTGTTACGGATTATAAATGATTACAAATATAGATATTGTGTTTGCATTTAGGAAATGTGTTTATGGTTTTATAAAGTGTTAAAGAATTTGAATATTTAAATTGTATTTCTTGTTTGTTTGATATATAAAAATGTGTGTCAGTGTTAATAAGTACATTTGTTAATATAGTTTACAAACAATTATAGAAACCAAAATAAAATATTATTATTATTTTGCTAATAAATAAAATCTAGAAAAGTAAAAATAAAGGTCGAGTGAGAAAACTATGTTTTAATACAAACTTTTATAATAAGAGAAATTTAAGTGACGATCAAATCCTTGTGAGACAACNGTTGTGTCAGGTCTTTGCGATCGGCTAACGATCTAACGTTTAGTATTCTTAGAGCCGATGAGATTATGAACGGTATGTTCGAAGAGCCCATCAATGAGTCCGAGCGCACAGAACGCCGACCCATCGGAGTTCCCGGAGTTTTCATATGAAAACTATTGCTCATCGCTTTGCGACTAACAATATAGCGGATATACGGCTATCATAACAAATCATTTGAATTATTTCTCATACAAACACTTATTGTTATCACTTTTTTACAAATATTGAGAATTATAACTAATTTTTGTTAATTCTTATTATTAATGGCCAACAAATTGTATAAATATATGGTTATATTATATAATGTCTTTAAATTAATGATTTTGTATAGAGTGTAGTATTGATGTAAATATAGCTGACTTGTGAGAACATAGCAAACATGATTGTGTTGGAAATGTTAAATTTTTAATCGACTCAAACACCACATAAGCTTTAGTGTTTAATTATCATAATTGCAATGATTTTAATTTAAAACAATTTAATCTCGAGACTGACTATAGAGTCAGTCATTCCTATCTTTCGTTTAGATAATTCATTGTTTTATACCATAAACTAAACAAAATTACATCATTTGAAATAAATTGAATTTACATTTCATTTTTAAAATAAATTAATTTTAATAATCAATTTAATAAACGACTTTTGTTTATCAATTAGTTAACCAATTATTGCTTTTTGATGTTAAGACCCGTCAGTTCGGATGGTCTGGCAATAGACGACACTTTAGATCCCAAAACACTAGCATTGGCTGAAGTTTTGCCGGATTCCGATTCTGCAGTCGATATCTTTTGTGGATTATTTAATCGCGAAGTGACCTGAGATTTGGGCGAAGATTTATTTGGCATTCGGGACACACTTTGCTGTTGATTACTAATAGAAGACATTCCCATCTTTGATGTCTTGTCCTCACGTCTCGATTGTATGTCCCGTTTGTTTGGTTGCGTTACTCGTGAGGGTTGTTGTGGCTGTACATCAAAACCAGTGGATACCATGCTTTGAATCTGCGACTTCTGTTTGGTCTCATCCTTTGGCGACTCATTGTTTTTGAAAGGAATGGCTTTATTTAGTGGCGATTTGTTCACAAAACTGCTCTTTGCTATCGTTTTATTGTCTTTAATTTGAGACACATTTGACGCGCTTTCGGCGCCTATTTTGCTGCTCTCGACCTCCGATGTCATGTCGAAGCCCTCAGAAACCATGGGCTTGACGTCAGTGGTAGACACCTGTCCCTCATTGATCTGCGACCCTTCGTCCGCAACAACGGCTGCGTTGTTTGTCATGTCCTCTGCATTTGCGTTCAAATCATTCTTATTAACCAAACGGAACTGTCGTTTCCTCTTTGAACAACAGTAATAAACGCAACACAAAGCGATTATTATGCAAATTATGCTAAACACTAACACAACTATTAATAAAATTAATTTTGTCTCTTCACTCAATTCACTAAAATTCTTATTCATTTTCTTCTAAAACGTGTCGATAATAGTATAAACACTTCCAAAGTAAAATTTACACACAATTTTACAAGTAATTCAATCTTAACATTAACTGTCTGTTTATTTCTATGATTAAATGTTTTTGAAATATAACAATTGAAGACAAGTCAATATAATATTTACTACAACAATACTATTCAGTACTGTATTCAGTAAAATTTAATATTGTTAATACAGTACATGGTACTGTACCGTATAAGCCTTTTCCCATCTTTGATGTTCTAATAATATTTGTGACCATTATTACAGATAATTGTCTGATATGTGCCATCCATGGATCCATAGATGTGTTCATTCAAGAAATCATAACAATATAAGTTATGGATAAAATAAAAATAAATTCATATACAATTAAACGAGTTGTAAAAACTTTTTTTTTAACAATTATCATTTTAACAAAAATGTTGTTATTGTCTAAATATTATGTAATCGTAAAGTAAATCAGTCTAAAAGACAAAAAAATGTAGAAACAAAGCCTGGCTTTTGACCAAATTTTGCGAAATTAGATAAGAGTTGTCAACCGTTTGGAAGTATTTTATTTATAAACATATTTACATAATATTGTCTAATTATTTTTGGGGTTTATATGTAATGACATTTACGCTAATAATACAGATATTAAAAATAAATGAGATTTTTTTAAAGAAAATTTTTAGTTTAAGATGTGTTACGGATTATAAATGATTACAAATATAGATATTGTGTTTGCATTTAGGAAATGTGTTTATGGTTTTATAAAGTGTTAAATTTGAATTTGAATATTTAAATTGTATTTCTTATTTGTTTGATATATAAAAATGTGTGTCAGTGTTAATAAGTACGTTAGTTAATATAGTTTACAAACAATTATAGAAACCAAAATTAAATATTAATATAATTTTGCTAATAAATAATATCTAAAAAAGTAAAAATAAAGGTCGAGTGAGAAAACTATGTTTTAATACAAACTTTTATAATAAGAGAAATTTAAGTGACGATCAAATCCTTGTGAGACAACGAAGAGCTGACGGATCGGGTCTTAGTTCTGGACTTTTTGTGGTTCAGTTGATCGTTAAGTTCACACAATTGTCGCAGAAAACCAATGTTGGGAAATATGGATCGATGTGTGCGGACGTGTGCCACTGCCTCCTGAGCGGTATAACCACATTTGATCATCAGATACGCCAACACAAGAGTGGCCGATCGGCTAATGCCTTCCCCGCAGTGGACCAACACTTTTCCGCCGCCAATCAGACCTTCGTGTATAAATTCAGCCGATTTTCCAAAGTGTTTATATAAAGGATATATCGATATATCGAGTGCTTCGACGCCCAGGAAATCAATGTCAGAGCTCTTGTAAAACTCTTGAGATGTGTTGACCAAACAAAACGACTTGTCTTTACCCCAACTGGCGTTTAGGACATGAGTTATTCCCATTCGCCGAAGAAGTGACAGACAGAGTGCTGTCGTTCTACACAATCAATCCATTAATTGAAAAATAACAAAATATTAATAATTATGAAATAAGAGTTGGATTCTAACCCATCGCTGATATAAAGTCGAGGAAAGACTTCGTTGAAAGGTTCGGTGGGCACCACATAATAGCCGCCGTTTGGTTTTGTTATGATGTCTATTAACTCATTTGGTGTACAAGAAGGCGATGGGTTTCGCCACCAACTGCCAGATGAGTACATAATATACGCTAATAAATAGTTGACAAAAAAATAAAAGCACAAAAACAAAACTTTTTCGCCAATAATTTTCGCAACAAATCAATGAATTCAATGTCAGAGCACTTAAGAAATATATGTTTAATAACTAGATTACGAACGCTTTGTGTGCTCTTTACACAACTCTTTCCACTCTCGATGTGAACGCATATAAAAATATGCGAAAAGTATTTACAAATAGTTTTTTCAAAAAATACTTTTCTTGTAGAAAAGTTAAAGTGAAAAAAGAAAGTGAAAGAATTTTTATGACGAAAGAATTCAAAGTAAATGATAAGTGAATTGTGGGCTCAAATCC